TGAAAGAGAAATATATAATCCTTTGTGAGAAAAATTGGTCGAAAATACATCAGAGCCTCTCAGTGCATGTTTTTCATTTAATTGACTGGAGTTGAGGGAGGCGAGATGGAAACCTTTCAAGTCTTACACTACATAATTTCGAAAATGTCCGGTTCCTGGTTCAGCTGATCCAGATTGTATATTACACTAGCGTAACAGGTGGCGCGAAGCGCCACCTCACCTCCTTATTGTTGTGACATATAGTATTATTGTAATTGAAATTATCTGTAAAAAATCATGTTTCTATCATGCATTAATATATAAATAAATTATTACAAAACTTACCACTATCCTGGTGACATACATTATGTAGTTAAGATTGTGTTAATTTGTATTGGAATTAGCACGAACTCCATCATATGCTACTGTAAAAAATACCGTTATAGAACTTGTTATTCTGTTAACACACAGAATTGGTTAAAGTTAGGTTCGTATCTGATTCTATTTTGCATTACTATAAAAAATTCCGATAAGTACGGAACTATGTGGTTGAGATACATTGTGCACCACTATAAGAAATTCTGTTACTGAACTAACTTAAAATTTTGTAACACACAGTATGTAGCTAGTTTGCATTGAAATTATTGCAATTTCTACTAAAAAATATTGTTATATAACTTATTTATTCTGTTGACATATAGTAAAGTAGAGCCGGGTATTATAGTACACTTAAGAATTGCTAATATTAAAAATTTTCATAAAAAGCAATATTTATTCACAATATTTATCAAAATAACAATATTAACATTCGACCTACTATCTAGCAAAAAAAAAAAATCTAGACTTTAAAAAAAAAAAAACTTGATATTCTAAACTTTCAAAAATCATAAAAAAAATGCAATGCTTTGTGAGGTTGTGGTATTATGGTATAATATGCATATCGATATTTAATATTGTATTGTTACTTTGCTGATCTTTTCCTCAAAATTATCTAAATAGGAGAAAAGGAAAAAAGCATATCAACTGCAATATGAAGCCTAATCTTCCATTAATTTTTAAATGGAATTGATTAATTTTTGCATCATTTGATTTGTCTCAGTAAAATGAACCAAATAATGCTAAAATTATTTAATTCTATCAGTAAATATCTAGATATCGTAAAAAAATGTACTATAATATTCAACTCTACCTTATGTGGTTAAGGTTGAGTTAATTTTACCATAAGTTACTATAAAAATTTTACTACAGAACTCAAGCATTATAAAAAATTCTGTCACAAAGTTGTCATTCTAGTAACACACAATATGTGATAAAGTTGAGTTAGTTTGCATTAAAATTATGTTTTTTTTCATGAATTAGTATAAAAATTTATGTTACAGAACTTGCTATTTCAATAGCACAATATATAATTAAAGTGTTATCGAACTTGCTATTCTGGTGATGCAATATGCAGTTAAAGTTAAGATAGTTTTATACAAATTATTGTGGCTTCTACCAAGAGTTACTGTAAAAATTCTTACTTGCTATTCTAGTAACATATAGTATTAGGTTAGTGTTGGTTAGAATTATATATCAGAAAATTAATATCAGGGAAATGTCTTGTCTAATAAAAGGATTGTTGAAAAAATGTAATACCAAACATATATCTTATCAAAAAAATGTGCTGTAGATGAAATATCATGTCAGAGAAATGAGTTGGCAGGTAAATAATTTTTAGAAAATTGTTCTGTAACTGATTTAGTTTTGTATCAAAAAATCTTGCTATTTTAATGATATACAGTATAGTAGTATTAAAATTTTTATATTTTCTATTGTGAGTTAACTGTAAAAAATCTGTTACAGAACTTACTCACTATTCTGGTAACATAAAGCATGTGGTTAAGATTGAGTTAGTTTACATCAAAATTATCATAATTTCTATTGTTACTATAAAATTCTTTTATAGAATTTACTATCTGATAACATGCAACATGTAAAGTTAATTTGTTTGGAATTATTTTTTTTTTATACAAAGCTTACTTGCTATTCTATTAAGTAGTTAAAGTTGAGTTAGTTTGCAATATAAATATTATAATTGTTTTTCATGAACTACTTAAAAAAATTTGGTACAGTGACACAATGTGTGTAGGAAGTTGGTTTATTGGAATTTCTGTCATAAGTTACTATAAAAAAAAATTAGGACAGAACTTAACTCTCTATTCTGGTAACACACAGTATGCGATTAAGGTTGACAATAAAACTATTGTAATTTATATTATAAGTTACTGTAAAAAGTCTTTACAGAATATTTGGTGATACACAATATGAGATTGAGTTAGTTTGTATTAAAAATATCATAATTTTTACTATAAAAAATTGTTACAGAACTTACTATTCTGGTGTATACAGTATATGGTTAAGGTTTAGTTAATTTTGTATTGGAATCAATGAGAACCAGTGCTAAATTTTTTAAATTTAAGTTGAAGATGATCAATTCTAGAAGAAAGTAGCAGCAGGTTGAGGAGTCAAACTGAATAATTGTAGAATTGGATATTAATATTGTGTTTCATATTGGCATTTGCCTCAGATATCAATTTTTTTTGGCCAGAATTAACTTATCGATGTTGATTAATCTAAATTAAGCTTTCTAGCTCTTACCCTAAACCTATCTAGGCCGATTGACATCTGAGGCAAGCATTAATCTGAGGTACACATTAAATTATATTGATGATCTTACAAATTTTGATGATCTTAAACATTCAAGTTAACAGAAGTCAACAAATCGAAAAGATAGCTATGCAAGGATTAAGCCTGAAGCGATCTGGTCAAGCCCAAAAGCATAGCTACTGCTCTAATCAGTCAAGAAGATAAGTTGATCTGTGTGAAGACAGATAAGTATGTACAAATTATTAAGATTTCAATTAATTGCTTATTCGGGCAACTGTCCAATCGCTAAAAAATTAGCCATTGATAGAATATGACATAAGAAGAAGCATAATCCAGAAATATCTGTATCATTATCCACAAAAATTAAGTTTCATACCCGAACCCTCCTATCTGTATAGAATCATTTTGTGGGAACTTAAAGCTTCAATTCAAAGCTGGCCTGCTTTATGCAATGTGGAGACTACCGGCCGATATTATGCATCATTTCAGCTAATGACAGCGATACCCAGCACAATTATGCTATTTCTGGGAGCATATCTTGTAGTTTATGCATCAATAGCTACAATTTCTCAATAAAAATTACGCAATAAAGTTTATTATCTAGCATCATTAGCTAGAGGCATCTAATTTTAAATACTTATCACATGTGTGTAATGCTTTTTGATAATTATTAATATTGATCGAACCAATAAAAAAAAATGGTGATCATTTTCTTTGAACTAACTGCATTCATAAATATTAAAATAGATTTGATCTACAGGTTGTGACGAATGATGAAGGATGAAAAGATCAACATTTGGTGATTGGTGTGAATGTCAAATGATGAAAAGATCTATGGTAAAAAATTGTATTATAGATATTATATTATTACAGTCAACTCTTTCTATAATGAACCCCGGTTCTGGCCAAAAAAAAAGTTCATTATATAGAATTACTATGTTTTCTTAATAGCCGTAGCTCTTGTTATACCGAACTAATATTAAAATTTAGAAAATTTGGGTTCATTATATCCAGAGTTCGTTATAAAAAGGTTCGCTATATCCAGAGTTGACTGTATATTATTATAGATATCCAGAATTTGAACCTAAATTAGATTCAATATTTGGATACCAATATCTTAGTTTAACGGACTTTAAAGATTTCATTAAATTACAATATTGTAGGCCAAAAAAAAAAAATTACATAATTTTAAAATACGTGAGTCGATTCAAAAGTTTTGTCAAAAGGTAATTATCTTAGTCATTTTTAAATATATAATTTTATTAAGAGCGAATCTATTTGTAACTGGTGGTGACATGCACTGATCACGTGCAACCAATCAAATTCACGTATAATGAACCCATAAAATCTGGAACTGATCAAAATTTTTTTTAGCTCGGATCAAATCAAAAACGAATTACAAAAATTTTTATTAAAGTTTAATTTATTAATTTTATTAATTATATAATAATAACATAATAATAATACAGTGATATATAATATATATAATAATCTCATGCACAATTCTGCGCTTTGACAAAAAAAAAAATCTTTCATATCCAAAACGTGAATACTACAAAGTATTTTGCGGTACTAATTAAATGTTTGAATCAATGCTGCTTTCTTGACAGATTCAAAAACCTACATGAACATAAAGAAGAAAAGGTAAAAATGATAAAAAAAAAAAAAAAAAAACTTATCTCAAAACTGAAGCGCCGCTTTCTGTGTTGATTTTACATTCATTTCAGCAAAACTTACACAAACTTAAAGAAGAAAAGAAAAAAATGTTAGTGAAGTGATTAATTAACAACAAAAAAAAAAGGAATAAATTCAAGATCGAAGTGTATTTACCGGTACTGATTCCACATTCTAACAAGGCATACAAAAAAAAGTCAGAATAACAAATAGCAAAAAAGAAAAATAAATAGATCATATCCAGCCCATCTAACAAAAGACCAAAGTTCTCCAGGTACTGATTCCACATTCTGGTAAAGTACAAGAGAAAAAAGAGCAAAGAATCTTCATGAACGATGGCACCAAAATGACAAAAGCCTGAAATCACTAATGAAACTGAAATAATGAAAGCCTGGAATCTCCACAAACGATAGTACCAAAATGGCAAAAACTTGAAATCACCGACAACCCAAAAGATAAACCCACAAAAGAAGAGAAAATTAAGTTAAACCGGGAAAAGAAAAAAAAACAAAAAAAAATCACTATATATATCTCACAAGGCTCTAGTTTTAGCGAAGCGAATCTGAAAAACATACCAGAAATTGCTCCCTGTCAGAAATGAAGTTTTTAAAATAAATATCGATAAGACTTACTTACTAGAAAAACAAACATTGAAGAAATACTAAGTCTAAAATCACCAAAGACAAATGAAATTTCCACAAATGGCAACACCAAAGCAACGAAAACTGGAATTACCACAAACATGTAACCAAAACAGAAATCACGCAAATAATGACGAAAGTCCAAAATCTCCACATTCAAACAACAACACCACAATAGTGGCTCCACTAACTTCACTATCTGGTTTTCTAGTGAAGCAAACAAACAAAAAAAAAAAGTTAGTTCAAAGAAAGAAAAACAAAAAGAGGCAAACAACAAAAAAAAAGCCACATATCTAAGGATCCCAGTTCTAATCACTATTCAGTATTTCAGGAAACAAACCTATAAAGTAAGAAATAGTTCAAAGAAAAAAAAAAAAAAAAAAAAAACTAACAAAAAAACCACTTACAAGATGGCAGGCTAATCTTCACTACCAGTTTTTTAGCAAAGCAAAAAATAAAACATAAAAACAAAAACAAAAAAAGCAGATTTAGATTATCAAAAACTAAAAAAAACTTAATCTAGATTGGATTAAGAGGGCAAACTAACCCCTAATCCAGAACCGGGGAGTGTTATAGCTGGTGACAAATACATTTTTTCTTTTATAAATTATTTCTAGAAATATAGTGAGTATAATCTATTTGTAAAAAAAAATTGAGCTAATTTTGATCAGATAACTTTTAAAAAATTTAAAATTTTAAAATTGCTCTTAAAACAACTAAAGGTTTTTTATTAATAAAAATTACTAAAAGTTTGTATTTAAAAAGTTATAAAAAATTAAAAACTTGATAAATTTTTTTAAAAAATTAAAAATTAATAAAATTAATTAAATATTTTATAAATATAAAATTTATTTTTAAATTAAAAAATAAATTATTTGAAAAAAAATTTTTAAAATTTTTTTATTTTTTGTCTATTTTTTGCAAAGCTAACTCTATTTTAGTTATATAATATTTCTACAAATTTTATAAATTTATATACAAATTTTGTTATATTTATTTTTTACTACTATTTTTCTTTTAAAAAATGATTAAAATTTATTTAATATAAAAAAAATACAAAAAATTACTATATTAATAATTTAATTAACTAAATATAGTAAATAAATTACTATATATAGTAAGATATACAAAAAGTTAAAAAAATATTTTAAATAATTATAAAAAAATTTATTTATATAAATTTTAACTATATATATATATATATAATATTATTTTTGTAAAATAAGTTTTTTAATTATATAAAAAATTTTAAGATTTATAAGTTAATTTAGTTTTTATATTAGTATATTCCTAATTGGTTTAAGAGCAATTTTAATAATTATCTGATTAAAATTAGCTCCTTTTTTTTATAAATAGATTATAACCACTATATTTATAGAAATAATTTATAAAATTATAGATTTAAAAATGATTGAGATAATTGCCTTATGACAAAACTTTTGAATCAACCTATGTACCAACATAAAATTTGTCATAAAATACATAATTATACTACAAACAAAATTTTTTTATTGTGGTTAATCGATTTGGAAGTTTTTTTTCAATTTGATAAATTTTAAAATGCAAAAAAGAACTTACACACTTGATTAAATTGCAATAAAAAAATAAAGATAGAAGGTGATAAAAAGTTCGATGCCTCAAGAACAGCAATTAGCATATAAAAAAAAACAAGTCAGAAAAGAGACAAGCTTGCCATAAACATCAATTAAAGAACACATCAAGATGAACATATTATTTATATTTTAGAATAAACCCGTCTATCAAAATTACTGATGATAATCGTAGGCTTCTAAAAAATTTTATAATACTGGGACTTAAACATATTTATTGTCCTATTTGTAAAAAATGTTTTCTTTCAGTTATTCTAAGTAATCAAACTGACACTTGCAATAGATGTAGTAGAAACAATTTGATTCCAAAGAGGCTTTCACTGGAGAATGATAAAGATTTAAAGATCCAGGTATGTAATTAAATACATATATAGTATTAATATATATTATTAAAATAAATATTTTATTATTAAAGTACCAACCAGGTTATCTCAGCATCGCCAAGTTGAAGAAACATTAATTGCACAGATTCTCCTATGTTAACTGTCTTTAATCTTCAAGGTAGACAACTTGATATAGAGATGTTCAGGAATTTATTACAAAGTTACTTTGTGATCCAGCCACAATTGAATACTTTAGTTGTTTGACAAATTGGAAAAGGCTGTATTATATTTCATGACTTTAAAGTCAATGTATGAACATCTTAGTATGCTTTGCTTGAGCAATTATAATTCATAAGTAGCAAGGAATAACTGCCAAAAACTATGATAAATCTTTGAAATAAGGAATTTGCAATAGGTCATACATTTGCAGGGTATCAAGAGTTTGTACTCTAAATGATCTTTTTTCGATACTGCCTTTTCTTTTGAAAGATTACAAAACTAGAACATATATAAATTTATTAATGTAATTCTAAAAGTTAAAGGTAATTTAAAATTTTAAATCCAATTTTAATAATTAAAGACTAAGAATTAGGACTCCAGCCCACAAAACGCTGCCGATTTTCTAGTTATAGTATAAATAGTGAAGTAATCAGAACTTAATTTTTGATACGACCAGACGTATATTTTAAAATTACATTTACGATAAAAATGTAATTTTGTATCACTTTGACTATGCATTAAATATTCTCCGCTACGCTCCGGATGATCATTTTAGCTTCTATCAAAAAAAAAAAAAAAAAAATGACGTTAAAATTTCTTGAAAAGCTTTCAAATAATTACCTTGAACTTCTTGATGATGAGGAAGACTTTAATGTAATAATTAATATTGGAGAATCTCCAAATACTAAAATATTTAGGACACATTCGGCAATTTTAAAATATAGGTCATTGTATTTTCGTAATGAATTGGCAAATATTAACAGAGATAAGAATAATATTAAAACTGTTAATCTAAAAATTGTTAATATTCAGCAATTTGAAATCATTATCAAGTAACTATAATATTTCTTTTTATTAATCTTGTGAAATTAAAAAAAATTTAAAAATGCTAAAAAGCATTAATATAATTATCAATTTATTTTAGGTATATCTATTGTGGAATAGTTTCACTAGAAGGTCTTGATGCTTCATTTGTTTTTGATCTCATGATCATTACTTGTGAGTTTTTATTTGAAGAATTGGCGAGGAGTCTTGAAACTTATTTGATTGAAACAAAGGCTTCGTGGCTTCGATTACACTTTTCTCAAGTATATCAAAAAAGCTTTCAAAATAATAAATTACAAGAACTGCAAAATTGGTGCAATGATATTATAGTAAAGCATCCAGACAAGATGTTCGAATCAGAAGATTTTACATCAATTCAAGAAATGCGTTGATCTCAGTTATTAAGCGAGATGATTTACAAATGGAAGAAGTAAAAATTTGGAAACACGTTATTGAATGGGGAATTACACAAAATCCTGGCATTCAACCTGATCCTAAGAGCTGGTCTAATGAAAATTTAGTAACTATGAAGACTACTTTACAAAATTGCTTACCTCATATTCGTTATTTCCAAATTTCTAGTGACGATGTTGTTGATCATTTACAACCGTATCGACGAATGCTTGATGAAAATTTATGGGATGATATAATTAAAAGACTTTTATCTCCAACCAAACCGATATCATCAGTAGTTCTTCCACCTCGTGTGGTTATAAAGCAAACATTACCACCAAGAACGACAGAACCATTTTCAACAGTCATTAATGAAGCACAAGCAGCTGAAATTACTTCATGGATTGATAAAAAAGTTGATGCGTACTCTGCAACAAATAACCCATATGAATTTAAATTACTTCTTCGTGGAACCAAAGATGGTTTTATTAAAGGTACATTTTGGAAACTATGTAATAATCAAACGAATATTGTTGTAGTTGCAAAAATTAAAGACACAGACGAAATTCTTGGTGGTTATAATCCTATTGGATGGACCAATACTAGTGATACATACAAGAATTGCAACGAGAGCTTCATTTTTTCATTGAAAAATGGTACTATTCAAAATTCCGTTTTAAGTCGTGTGAAAAGACCAGAATATGCAATTTTTTGTAGTTCCAGTTGTGGCCCAGTTTTTGGTGGTGGTGGTGGTGGCGCTTGCGATTTAGTCTTTTTTAATAGTTCTAATCAATGTTGGAATCGTCAAAATGCCTATGAAAAACGAATTAGAAGTGCTACTTATAATTCTAGTGGGATATCATATTTTTCAGTGGACGAATACGAAATATTTCAGATTAGTAAAAAGGTTTAAACTTTAAATGTAAGAAGTCATGTTTAAGTTTTATCATGATTATGAATAAATGTGTTTCATTAAATGAAATTATAATTCTTATCACTCCGTAGAGCGACCAATATTCAATATTTTCGTATCATATATTTTATTTTAGTTATATGAAAAAATATTGATTGTAATATATAGTTGAATTGAACTAAATTTTTGTCTAGAACAAAAACTAAATGATTCATAATCAATAAACTACAACTAAAAAAATACAGAAATTACAATTTAGTAATATCGATTATTGGAGTAAATAATAACCCCGATGGGATTATGTATCAAGAATAATAGCCGAAAGATATTACCGTTACATGATAAGTCCACAAATTAGCTTTCTTAGATCTGTGCAAAATGAAATTCTCTGTGCCTACGCAAAGTTTAGATGACTTTTTTGTCTATTTGAAGTTTTATATAATTTATCGTCGTTAAACATTGATTTAATTTGTAAGAACATACGTACTGTATCATTTTTATAATTTAACCATAGCGATAAAATTGACATATAATCTATTAAAAATTGATCAACTAAAAAATTTAATCCAAGTCAGCAGACATCAAAGTTTACCAAATTTTTAAAAAATGCATGCAAATTAAAAATTTTAGTTAGAATTGGAAAAAATGAATCTCAGAGTAGGGATGTAAAATTACTGAAATTTTGCGTAATTTTACATAATTTTGTGTAAGATTCTGTAAATCAATTTTTCATGTAATTGTAATTTCGAACACACGACATTTAGTTTCTGAGATCAAATTTCGACGATTTATGAGTTACAATTCGGATTGTATATTCAATCAAATGATGCAATAATGTTGGCCAAACTTTTTGTAAATCCGGTACTTTATATAAAATTACGTGAAATTTGGTTTTCTGAAACTTACGTAAAATTACATGTAATGAAAAATTGTAATTTATGTAACACATCCCTTAATTGCTCGCTAGTTATCATTTGATCATATAAACAAAATTAACGTTAATCCTGTAATTACTAATTATTAATCCTGTAATTACTAATTATCAGGCCACCTATAATGCAAAAATTAATTTTGTTTTACAATTTAGCAAGAACAAAACATAGAGAAATTTATGGTGTTAAAATAATAATTTAGTTTAGCATTTTTTATTTTAGTTTCTACCGAGTTTCTATCGCTGTGTTAAATATACGTAAATTATCTTTTCCAAGTATCTGGTTTCACATATTTTAACTGTTTACTGTGACAAATCCGGAGTAACCCTTAAAAATCTTTAATTATTTTTAGTATTACATTATACAATTACACAATTACACATTAGTGAATCAATTTATTTCATAGTATTATTGTCAAAACAAATAGATCTTATTACCAAAGAAGGTTAATTTTGATTGCCGTAGCAAGATGTTAAATTGACAGAATGATATGAATAATCTATTACCGATAGTCTGATAGATGGCGAATCTATAATTGATAATTTAAACGCTTTCTGATCCATTGATGATAAACTAAGTCTAATTTACATTAGTAAATGTTGAAATACTCATGAACTTGGTAAACGCTTGAGAAAATCTTATTTTCCCTATTGTCCAAGATAAATACGTATTCATATTGTTTTCCTACTAATCCTTGTCTCTGTAAAGTAAAGTAATGGGATAATAGCACGTATGGTGAATAAAAATCTATCCATGACTGTAATGAAATAATTATATGTTATAATAGCTGTATTATAAAAAAAGCATCATATTTTTCAAAAAATATCTTAAATCTCGATAAACAAAACTCCGGAAGGTCAAAATCCCGTTAAGTTGGCACGAATTAACTATAATCCCAGTCAATTTTTGTGTTTGTCTCAAAACCTCTAAAAAAAAAAGGTAAACAAAACCTTAGATCAAATTCCTAGTGGTACTGAATTCACTTTGTATAAGAAAGACGCTTTGTTTTTAAAAACAAAGAGAAACGAATGCTTTAATACTGAAATGTGATATAATATACTTGTCATAATAAACTCTGTGTACATGCAAATCAAATATTTAACCTGTCATCTTAAAATCTTGAACAAATCATTATAAATAGTAGAAACTAATTATAGTACTGTAGTATAATATTTTACAATGCTTTTTACGGAAACATAATGCACGTTTAAAACTAAATTTTAATTGAAACTATCCGAATTAATCCGAAAAGGATTACGAACCAACTTTCACTACATTTCACTACATTTCACTACATACGTATACATGCGTATTTTTTTCGTACGCAAAATTTTATCCAAAATTCAATATGAAGAACAATCAACGCCAGAAAATTGGTGCTCAATTGCAAGTAAACTCTGTATAACATTAGTAAAATAATATGAATCTATTAAATACGAAGTAGAAGGATCTTTTAAGTCAGTTCTTTCAAGCTCAGTGGATTTTTTTGTTCGTACACTTTTAATTGCCCTAATATTCATTCTTTTTTTCATCGTTCAATATAATTTTCTATTTTCGACCATTTAGTACCTACGTATTACATATCATCACATATCATTGATCCCTTTGGTTTAAGAATGGAAAATGGTTATTTCATATATTTTTAAAATTCATACTATTTTTATTTTTATTTGCTTGATCACATTGGTCAAATCAGTACCTACATGTCCTTTAACTCAAAATGATGCCAAAGAACAGCAAAAATATATTATACAATTTTCCTCAGCAAGTGCAGCAAAAAATCTCTATACATTGTTAAATCTTTGCAATAAAACAATTAAAACTAGTGTGGACTTTTCTAATATTCAATCGGATCTGAAGCATAATGGAATTGTTCAAGACGTTAGTTTCGGAAATTTTTATGCTTACATCGGATACTTTAGAAGTAGTGATGTTGATGAATTAACTAAACTTAATGGCATTATTAATGTCGAGAAGGATTCTTTAATGGGCATTCGTACTTTAAATAGTAAAAATTCATCATCTTGCCTTAGTACCAGAAAAAATCCTAATCCAGTATGTATATTTTTTTTTAATTTAGATCTTGAACTATTCGAGTAAACAATTATCTTTAAACTTTTGCCAATATATTATTTTAAAACTTATATTATAAAAATAGAATTTAGATCGTATTGATCAAGAACTCTTTCCATTAAATGGAAAATATATGTATCCTTCTACCGCTGGCAATCAAGTGCAAGTTTATATTCTTGACACGTGAGTTATTGTGTTACAGTAATTAAAATCAATGTGCAGCGTGCTTATTTATTTGTGTACTATATATAGAGGCATTAAAACTGATCATGATGAGTTTGGAGGACGAGCAACTTTCGGTACGACTATCTGCGAAGGTTGTTCAGCCACAGATGACAATGGGTATTCTTTCTATTTTATTGTTTTTTTTATTAATATTTTCTTACATTTACAAATGCAGTATATAATGATTCCTTTTTTTTTCTCAAGTCACGGAACACATGTTGCAGGAATAGTAAATATTACATATTTCATTAGTAAATCCTAATGTTGTGTATCCAGATCAAGTTTTAAACTTAAAAATTTTAAATTTAATAATTTCCTTAATAGGTTGGAGGTAATAAATTACTTTAAAAAATAATTACGTATATTCATGCACTATTATAAAAATAATTACGTATTCATGCACAATTATAAAAAAATTTTATGATAATGCTTCAAAATTAATTCAGGTCAAAATTTCGGTGTAGCAACCCAAGTATCCCTGATTGCCGTTAAAGTTTGTACCGCTCAAGGAAATTGTTCAACCTCTGATGTCATTTTAGGATTGAACTATGTATCAACACAATATTCAATAAGTTTTAACAAGAGAGCTGTGATCAAGTAACGTTTTATTCGCTCATAATTATGCTGTTAAAAGGTTGTAAAAAAATGTTTATTTAATCTATTTTATAGTTTGTCATTAGCTGGTCCTGTTTCAAAATCTTTAAACGATGCTGTTAATTCAATAACAAAACTGGGTATTCATGTTGTCGTTTCTGCTGGAAATAATTATCATGATAATGCTTGCAATTACTCTCCTGCATCTGCTTCTAGCGCTATAACAATTGGTGCTATTGAAGATACTTCGAATGCTGTAACTGACTTTACAAACATTGGTTCATGTGTTAGCATTTTTGCTCCAGGTTAATAATTGAATTTCATACAATAGTGCTAAAAAATATTCATTTATTTAATTTATGTTAAAAAAACTTTTCATTTTTTATAAAAGGTCGTAACATCCTTTCTGCTGGAATATATAATGAGACTAATATACTTTCAGGAACCAGTCAAGCAGCACCTCATGGTTTGTAATTAACTTTATTTACTAGTGTTCTTACTATGTTTAAATTCTTTTTATTTATTTAAACTTTTTTTTTTGGTTCATCTATTTTTTTGGCTAATTAGTTACAGGAACAGTTGCTTTAGTAATTGCAAATACCGGGAATTTATCTCCATCTAATATGAAAGAATTTATTATAAACTTGGCAACAAAAAATATTTTAACTGGTATTGATTCTTCCACTCCAAATAATTTTTTGCGCGTTCCATATACTTGCAACAATTAATCTCTCCATAGAGAAATGTTTAAATTAAATGTTTAAATTAGATTTAGAAACTTATTCGTATTTAATAGCTTTAAAATAATAGAGAAATTTTGTCCTTTAATTAATAATATATTTTTTTATTGTAATATCATACTATAAAATTTTTTTCTATTGCTTTATTATCTTGAATTTACGTCTCAAGCATTAATTAGTAATGTTATGCCAATTGTTGGTCTATAATTTAATGAAATTGACTTAAATACCATAGAGCACCCAGTAAAAAAATCTGATTGGGTTCGATTAATAATAAGAAAAAAGAGTTTTTCTAGCAAACTTTTCTTATTATATATGTCCACGAATTTTACTGGGTATTCAATGGATTCCATTTTCTCGACAACAAATTTTTTGAACTCAAGCCGAAAATCATTTTCTTGGTAACAATATCTGCGTGATATCGGCGTGTCTCTGACTATATTTTCAAATAATGAATAACCTGATTAACTGGAGATATTTCTTCAGACAGGATACAAAATTTGTTATTATGCGATTTGATGTGGTAGTCAAAAATCATACCGTATATTTGTGTTTTTGAAATAAGCCAAATACTAGTATCATCTTTTTTTCGCATTATGGTAGTCTTATGTGTGTATTATATGATTTTATTACACTATTAGTTAAATTATATGTAAATGGAGCTACGTCATAAAAGGATTATTATATATATATAATTTTTATCACGTGTTTTCTTTTAGCAAAATTAATTAATAACTATAATAGATGCGCTTAAAGATATTACAAATTGAAAAAAATCTATTTTTGATAGTAACATTAATCAAGAGATAAACTCTTTATTATCCGAATATAATCATATTGCTGGGCAGCTCTTTGCACTCAACCTTCCGATTCTCAAAAATCATCGGATAATGTATCTATTCAATACTAACAGTGTTGGTGAAGAAATTGTCGACCTTACAAAGTAATGATTCATTTATAGAAGAACAAGGCAGGATAAATAACATGTTTTAACTGTTAGGTTCGGGAAATCATAATTATAATCTGGCAGCTTGAATGTTTAATGAAGGAGCGGAATAATTAAAGTAATAGATGATTAATATATATTTTACAGTACTGTGTACATATCAAATATATTTATGCACGTAAAGCGTAAATAAAATTTACAATAAAGTGCAGCATATGCATACTTACGGCATATAAAGTTACTACCGTTGAGAAAAGTTAGACTGGATTGGACTCGGAAAAATATGGGTAATACAGATATCAATCCACACTAACAACCAAACTCTATCCGAACCATAATATTGGAAAGCAGAAAGGAGGCGTGGAGAGACTTGGTCAGAGTTATTAGAGTCACGAGGCTCTATTCGGGATCACGAGATTACAAGATTCACTTATCGAGGGGTAGTATTTAGAGCGAAACTTTAAAGTCAGAATAACAGACTCTAATTGAGTCGAACTCTCATGAGTTATGCCAACTCTGAGTTACTTTATTTTGAAGACAAGAGACATCATATTTATACTTTTACATTCCTATCTAAATACAGGTTTTGTTATTCACTTAATATAATAAAGCGGATAAAGCGGATTAAGTGGATTAAGCGACTAAATTCACTTAAGCGAATAAAGCGAATAAAGTAGATAAAGCAGATAAATACGATTAATTGGATAAATAAACTAAGTTCAATATACTAACTAATTTGGTAAAATGGTAAGATTCAACCCGAGCCGAGCCACCTTGGTATTATACCAAATCCACTGAATTTACATGCATCCTATTCAATACAAAGAAAGGTTTTGTTTCAAGTCACAAATCACCCTTTCACACCGTACAGCGTGGACTAAAATACTCAGGGTACTTTACAAGTCATCTACATATATAGGTATTCTAGTTAGATAATTACTATACTTAGCATAGGAAATATGGGTTACACTATATATGTATCGCAAGGGAAAGCCTGTCATTGGACTTTCAATTATAACTATCGATTTAATGTGTTTTAGGTCACTAAAAGTTGTGAGAGGTACTATACTGTGAGGTCTTTTAGTCCACACCGTACGGTAGTTACGGCACATAAAATAGTTACGACATAATAGAACTGCATTTCATTTATATATCGCAACAATATGGAATATACGAATGTTATGAAATACCGTAACTTAAAAAAAAAAGTTATACCAAGTTATAACTTACTTTGAGTTTCTACTGCATAACTAGTCGGGATTCTGTTCTCCGGATTTTGACCAAATTTTTTAGTTTACTGCCAAATTTAACAAAAGTTCATTAGGTCATCTCCATAAGCTTCTGACAATCTAACCAAAAATAATGTAAAATAAAAATAGCAATCATGTTACAAATATGCGCAATAAACTCTCAATCTCATTTGTGTGAATTTAGTCGAATTATAAAAATATTTAGTTACTTCTAGATGAAGCATCGAGCGAATCTGATAACTCTTTCTTCAATAACTTCTTGCAGATTTTTGGGGTTGTAACGCTTTCTTGTAAATAATTATTTTTTCACAATTTAAACTTAATGAATCAGCATAGCCGCCCACCTGCAATTAGTGGGACATGTGATGAATTTTGCGATGATCATCGGCAAATTTCGGTCAATAATAAAATTTTCGGCCGATACAGTATTTCGGTATAATTTTGTACTGGCCGAAATTTATATTATCGAAAAATAATCAAAATAAAAAAATTTAATCGAGTTTGGTTTGATATTTGTCGAAATAGCTTCGTTTAAAGTTTTAAAAAATCCTATTACAACTTTAATTTTAATAGACGGTATAATTTATTGTAAACTTTAAACGAAGATATTTCGACAGCTACCAAACCTAATTCTATGAATTTTTTATTTTTGATAATTTCGAATATGTGGAAACAAAATAAAAAAATCTCATGAAATTTGGTTTGGCAGTTGTCGAGATATCCTTAAAAAAAATTATACTGCGGCTATAAATTTAATTGACGGTTTAAATTTGTTGACTATCTTTAAACGGAGATACTCAACAACCACCAAACCAAATTCGACGAATCTTTTTTTTTTATTTTGATTCTACAAATAAGTAGGATAAAATCAAAAAAAATTTCATTAAATTTGCTTTAGTAGTTGCCGAGATATCTTTGTTTAAATTTTTAAAAAATTCTACTACGGCTTAAAATTTAATTGACGGTTTAATTTACTAACAAACTTTAAACGAAGATTTCTCAACAACCACCAAACCAAATTCGATGAATCTTTTTTTATCTTGATTCTACAAATAAGGCCGTTCGAAGTTAATTTATCGGTTAACATCACTTTCCAGAACTCTCGAAAGTGGGGAGGGGGCAAATGAAACGAACATATAAAATGAACAAACTATTTTTAATGTAGTAAATCTATTATAACGAATTGACATTTAGTCTAAAGATTCTAGTTGAGTTGCTAATTAGGTCAGATATATTTGATTCAGTAGTTAATATTACATTCCTATTATAAACGAGAGGAGCAAAAAATAAACAAGTAAATAATTAATTATATAATGCATTCATCCGAGAAAAACAACTTCATATGTATAATTTTTACAGCTAAAATTCTCGTGATCTGGTGATCGGATCTGCATCATTTTTAAAGTATATATGCAGCGATCACAGATTGGAATTTTGGGTTTACTAATTCCCAAAGTTCCTATTGGCTGAATACGTACAATTTTAAATAAATCACTGATTGGATGGCTTTAAAAATGTAAAAAAGTATCGATTCGAATAATTGATTTGTAATTGTTATTTATGCAAAAGTTAGACGTTTATTTAAATATTTCTTATTTCTTCTTACTCACTAATACTAGTTCTCTCTTTACAATCGAATAAAAAAACACTTCGGAAGCTATTTTTTCGGCAGTTTTTCTTGAATCGTTTCATCACAAACTGAAATAAGCATATATGAGAGGACAGCCAAGTGGGAACTGAATTGTTTCTCATTTTTTTTTTAAAAAAAAAATTTTATTTTTTTATTTTTAAACTCGGCTTAATTTAATTTAACTTAATTTATTTTAAATTATTTTATTTTATTTTATTTTAAATTAGTTTAATTTATTTTATTTTATTTTATTTTAATTTATTTTAAATTATCTTTTATTTTATATTTGCTGTATAGCTGTGAAATAGTGCATAGGGAGTTATTTCGAATTCGGCCTGAATTAAGCTTAATTTAGGCCGAAATTCGAAACCACACCCCATCGCGTTATTTCGTGGTTATACGGATT